AACAACTCAAATGTAACTGGGTTGTCAATGTCAGGCTTTCTGTCATGAAGATTTGTTTATGGGTTTTAGGAAAGCCTGTTTTTGCACCTAAATTATTTGGCAAAATATAAACTGACTGCCCTTTGAGTCCTTTCAGAAATATAACTCAGTGTTTGTAATCACTCCCAAGCTGATGGCTTGTTTCCAGCGGTTGTTGGACAGGATTCCCCCTTGGGGCATGCTTCTTATGTTAATCCTCTTATAGTTGTTTGTGTGACTCATAATAAGTTCCTCCTGGATGTAATTCCCCTGCACTCCTCCTCTCCTGAGGCTAGCTGGCTAGCTGCAGAACTTGTTGCATGTCTCAACATAATGCTGAATACTTTCCTGCAGCCCTGAGCTGGAAGAGAAGAACAGCGATATAAAAAGAGAGAGGAAAGACAGCTTTTAGACACCTGCTCCATCAGGAGGAGGGATGGTTATACGGGGAATAGGTGTGTGTGCATTAACACACAACTCTTCTGGTGTTTGTATGATGTGGCTTTACAGTATTTCTTATTTTTTCTCATTGTAATAAAAACTTGCAACAAAGAGTGTGGTTCCAATTATAGCATGTCTCATGTTGACCTTTGCCATGTCTTGGTAAGTTTTCTGCACAGTATCGGTAACACACTCACGTTCAAACTTCCACAATAAGCAACACTTAGCTGTACATGCTTGGACACCTATTAGGGATGCTCAGTCAAAACAAGTAAGGGATATGTAGGAGGTCAAGAAAGACTTGTTTATCGATTACCAACCCAGTAAAGATTTGACCATGGCGAACTTCAGCATGACAGAAGCATCAACGCAGCGTCAGAGTGTCAGAATGTCATGAATTGACAGCCAGTCACAGCCATCTTTTTAAAGTAGATTGACGAAAATAGCGCATGTAAAATATGAGGAGGATGTGACGATCAAAGTTATACAGAGCTATCTAATCGTTTAATATTAATTTAACATGGATTTAAGAAGAATAAATTAGGAAACAAGTATAAAAAACAACATCATATATATAATTATGTATTATTATTTATATAATAATAACAACAACATAAGTGCAGTACTTGATTATATGGTAACTTTCCAACACACAAATATTCAGCTTGCCCAAAACTGCTGTAAGGTCTTGGAGCAGGATTTGCTAAAGCGGCTAACGAAGGTGCGTCTCTGGAGCTGCAGTCCACTCACCCCCCACGGAAGTTGTCAGTTTGGTGTGTAAAGCCCCGGACACACCAAGCCGATTTTGGCCGTCGATGGATGTCAGGCCGACGATGAGCGTGCTCTCGCCCTACTCAAATTGGCTGTTCAGCTAGCGAATCAGTGCATGAGAAGCGAAACGGAAGTGAGGGACCCAAACAAACTATTAAGAAGGCAAATCTGAGATTTTATTTAACTCCACCTCTCGACACAGGTTCGGGAAAGCCCCATGAGCTTCTCGTTGTAGAGTGAAAATGCACACACTATTTGTTGTTTGTTTATATCACGCAGTCTGTTCTTCTTCTCTTGGTTATCACGCAGTCTGTCTTCCGGTTGTTGCCTCTTTTGAATGACGAATACACACTACCGCCGCCTGCTGGTAAGGAGAGTTATTGCCACTCACGCATGCGCAGTTCGTATGTGCAACTTGGCCGTCGGCTGAAGTCTTTGCGGTGTGTTCCAGTGCGAAACATGGCCAAGACGCAGGAGACGCGAGGCGAGACAACAGTCGGGTCCGTCTGTGTCAGTTATTTGGTGTCAGCTTGGTGTGTCCCTACCTTAAAGGGGACCTATCATGCAAAATGCAGTTTTGTCTTTTATACATGAATATGTGTCCCCGGTGTGTCAGGGAACTCACCAAGTGTCAGAAAACACAACCCTCTCTCTTTTCCTCCATACCCAAATCTCTAAAAACGGGGCTGCAACGGAGCTGATACAGATTGGAATTGTTCTGACGTCAGAAAAGGGGTGCTCCGCCTATATGGGCAACTCTCCACCTATCAGGGGAATGGGGGGTTGGGCCACGGCCATTGCCGCTCGAAAGCGCTGGAGACTCTGTAGTACATATACCAGGCCTGTAAGTGGCGCTGTAGTCTGCCACAAAAGCAGCGAAGAAGAATTCCCGTGCATGGTTGCCATGGTTGCCCTTCTGTTTATTCTCCGCTCTGGCTCTTTTTCTCCCTCCCTGAGGCAAGCGTTTGCTCCTGCTGCTGTAATTCAATGTAATCCCTCCCTCACTGTAATTCTCTCCGGTTAGTCCACCAGCAGATGACAAACACCCACCTCTCCGCCTCTTCCAAGGGACGAGGGGACCGTGCGGCAGAGTTTCAGTTAGATTTTTTTTCGCCGGTCAACATGTCCGTTAAAGTTTAAATCTTCCGGACAAAATTAGAAAAGTACCGGTCAAAGGTCTTCTTTGTTATTTATTGAGCTTTAAAACAAATGAATAACGACTCTATATAATAATATAAGAATAAAACACGGAGGACGGAGCCTCTCTTTTCCTCCCCCTCTTATGAGAGCCCAGCAGCTGATCAGAGCACGCTCCCCTCTCCTGCAGGGGGGCTTGGTCAGCTGAAGCTCATTTGCATTAAAGCTACGTCACAGAATCAGCCCCCTGCAAAAACAGGGCTGGAAAAGAGCAAATAGAGCGAAATGAGGCATGGCTAAAATGCATGATCTGTTTGGTATTTTGAAAAAAAACTTCACAGACATGTTTTATATAGGTATGGCCCTACAATATATTTGTCAAATATATATATATATATATATATATATGTCCACTTTAAAGGTGGGGTAGGTAATTTCGGAGAAACCAGCTCGAGTGCGCTAGAATTTGAAAATACACAACCGGAGAAAATCTGCCACTTCCTTACAGAGCCCCTCCTCCAACACACACGAACGCGCACATGACCAATGAGGGCACGAGATAAGTTTGTGCACAGATGGAAGGCTGACAGGCAGGTAGGCCATCCAGTTATTTTAGCCGGGCCGGCTAAAATGATTGGTTGTGATTTTTACAGTACCACGGCTTCCACAGATGAATTTTTTTATGGATTTTTTGTCAAAGCACTTAAGATATTCATTGCTATCGGGATGTTAAGAGCATTCCATGGAATATAACAAAAAGTGTATCTCGAGCCGGTTTCTCAAACTTACCTACCCCACCTTTGAGAGGCTTTAAGCCTCTTACACACCAAACTGACACTAAAGAACACCAAAGAACACGTTCTGACGGAACGTCGCCTCACGTCTCCTGCGTCTTGGCCATGTTTCGCACTGGAACACACCGCAAAGACTTCAGCCGACGGCCAAGTTGCACGTACGAACTGCGCATGCGTGAGTGGCAATAACTCTCCTTACCAGCAGGCGGCGGTAGTGTGTATTCGTCATTCAAAAGAGGCAACAACCGGAAGACAGACTGCGTGATAACCAAGAGAAGAAGAACAGACTGCGTGATATAACAAACAACAAATAGTGTGTGCGTTCCATTTTCACTCTACAGCGAGAAGCTCATGGGGCTTTCCCGAACCTGTGTCGAGAGCTGGAGTTAAATAAAATCTCAGATTTGCCTTCTTAATAGTTTGTTTGGGTCCCTCACTTCCGTTTCGCTTCTCATGCACTGATTCGCTAAGCTGAACAGCCAATCAGAGTGATTTCTTTGGCCGACAGCCTCCCGATTCGACATGTCGAATCGGCGGCGGAAGGTGTCGGCACGGCCGAAAAACCCGACATCTATCGACGCCGATAATCGGCTCGGTGTGTAACAGCCTTACACGGCAGGAAGTGAGGGACAGGGACAACAGGACAGGGTAGTTATCTAACTGTTTGTAGTCTGATAAACAGTAAATTGATCAAATGTAGTGCCAGAATAGACGTGAGATTACTTGAGAGTTGTTGAGAAGGGGACATCAAACATCCATACTCAGTCGCATAGATGTACATCAACGCTTTCGCCATTCCGAAGTGGCCGTGGCCAAATCTAAACTGGGTTTGAAAAATGTTTAACGCAGGAGGGACTGCAGATGGGAGACAAGTAAATCAATAACACCCTAAGCAATTACATGACAATCAAAGTAGTTTACTTATCATTTTCTGTCCATCACTAATTTGTTCATCAAGTTATTGTTGTAGATATAAGGTTTTTGTTTTTGAAAAGGTAAAGAAATATAAGCAATGTGAGTGTTACCACCTCCTCATGCTGCTGGAGTGAGACAGAGGCAATCTTCAGATTAGCTGTGAAAGACATACAGCATTCAGAGGTTAGCAGCCTCTCAGCAATAATCCCATTCCTTTAGTGTGATGCAGCAAAGACTCAGTAACATGACTTCATTAACTCCTAACAAGGTACTTTAGCTGCCAGAGTTCACCTCCACCTGGTGGACCACCTCACCATGACATAGTAAAACGATGTTAACAATGGTAAGATATATATTTGAGTCTCACATTGGGATCCTGCTCCTATAAAAAAAAGTGTGGGAGACAGGTTCAGGGCATTCCAGCTGTTGGAAATAATAATGGAATACTTTCACAGGTGTAGGGACATGGGAAAGTTGTTAACAGCACTGAGATGTGGAAGACATATCAATGGTGTGAAACATTCCTTCACTCTGCATCCACAGAAATAGGGGAAGGGAGGGGGAGCAGTCAGAGGCAGGCTTTTTCTTCTTGTTGTGCATTGCATGTATGAACAGCACAATTATATTAGTCTCACCTGGATAAGTCCTATTCCGCTGGAAATGACAAGAAACACAGAGCAGGCCTCAACAAGCTTTATATTCTGATGTTTAAGCTATGCTCCCTCTGTCAGCAAATTCTCAAAGGTTAATGTCTGTTGTGATTTCACTCCTCAGCACAGTGTGTTTTGCTCCCTCCCCATGTTCAGTGTGACTCATTTGCTCTCAGTGCAGCCTTTGGTTAGCCCCTGTGCAAAAGCTATCTTTGAGATGTATGCTACCACCCCGTTATAATCATGGTTCTTTTTGTCTATTTTTTTCTCACAGGCCTGGCGCATGTGGTCAAAACTTTGCTGTGGTCAAAAGGGGCTGCTCTTCCTCTTTCCCCTCTTCCTCCTCTTCCTCGCGATCTTTGTGATGGCTATGACCCTGCCCCGTCCTTTGCCGCGCTCTGACATGGACTGGAGGTCGTCCCGAGCCCTGAGCTCTACCGGGGAGCTGAGACCCAGGCCCAGAGACATGAATTCACCCCCTGTTTCTTCTAACCAGCAGCAACTCACTCACATCCAGAGCAGGACCTGGAAACCCTCTCCAAAAGACTCATTTAAACATTCAGTGCCAGCTAAACCTGTTGCTCGTGAGGACAAGAACAACATAAAAGACAGAGGTCACCCAGACTTTGTCAGAAATAAACATAAAAACAATGGCATTGCTTCAAAACGAAAAGAATTGGCAGGCGCCAATCTCTCTTGGTTTGCGGTTAACAACACAGGGCCAAAACATAGAATTAAGCCAAGCGACCACAGTGCTGTGGTGAAGCACTCTGCACGGGTAAATGGCAGTCAGGCTGCACACAGACAGGCAGCCAGATGGCACAGGAAAGCAGACACACCAATACAAAGTGCAAAGCTAGGTCAACATCACAAGGAAAACAACAGACCAGCAACAAATCACTCTGGGAAATCTGGCAAAGTCGCTAAGGATTGGCAGGCTGTGAAAAAGTCCTCTAGGGATCTGAAAAAACAACACAATCCCTCGGAAGAGAAGGAAAAGAATCCTGGCTCGGCTTTGTCCAACCAAAAGACAGCCATGAAGAAAAAGGAGGGCGCCTGGTGTCGGAGCTTCAGAGAGCAGGACTTCCCAGGCAGTGACCGGAGGAGGATCAGGGTCAGCCCAGAGCTCCAGCCCTGGCTCAGCAAGGAGGACATCCAGAAGATGGAGCTCCTGGCAGGGGGCCAGGTGGTCAGTAAGGCCAGGGTGCCAGCACATGGACAGGTGCTCCAAGTGGCACTGGATCCTCCTGCACCCCAGCAGGTACACAGATACACTGTTTGGAATTAACTGTTTGTAGATGATATGTTTTTATATATGTAGCTCTTTTTGGCAGCTATGTCCTAGTGATGCGCTGTGCAGTTTTCACCGCAGCTGTGTTAAGGTTACTCTAAAAACTGGACCCAGTCGCAGAACACAGACTCGAGAGGGAATGAAGTTTTACAGATTTACAGAGGTTGTACTCAGTCAAGAGATGAGGGAAGGGCTAGATATGGCAGGATAGTGGAGGTATGGAAGGGGAGGCAGTCAGGTGAGGCTTGAAGCCTAATGGTGTGGCAAAGGGAGAAGCAAGCAGGCTGTCGGGAGGGTCCGTTGGCAGGTGAGCTGATGATCCACTGGTAGCACAAGGAGAAATATTAGCATCAAAACACAGGAAAATACTCTGGCAAGGAAACTCCAGTTGCTGGAGGACTGTAGTAGATATGCTGTGTTGATAGGATGATGATGGACAGCTGAGCCTGCTGCCTGCAAGGAAAGCCAAACCCACGGCACACACAGGGAAAAGGGGAAACTAAGGCCCAATTCCACTTTGTGACGGAGTGAACTGTGGCTGTAGTCACACTCACATCTGATTGAAGAATCTGAAAATCTGATGTTTGGAAGCTGCCTGGTTTTTGCACCAGTTCCTGTAAACATACAAAACTTAACAATTAAATCAACACTTTTACAGTTTTCTAGACTAGACCCGGGTAACATTAGGAGTCAGAGACATGGGTTGGACCGTGACAGAGTATTACAGTTGAGGAGCGAGGAGCTTCCACTGCCTGGAATCATCAGCTATCATTGTCAATATAACGCACACTTCAGTATTATCCACATAATATCAGGCAATATTTCCCTTTAACTGCTGGCTAAAAGGTTTTTTTGATTGTTTTACTTACATATACAAATTGTATCTACAAAGTGAGGCCATTCCAACGAAAATATTCTTAGCTTTTACCTGAGGCACCAGGTATTGGGCTAGGTGTCTAAAACAAAAAGGTGTTTTATAAATAAAAACGAAATGTAAAGAGTTGTAAAAGTGTATTTCTCCCTCACAGAAGAGTGATCCACCTTCCCAAAGCCATGCAGAGACCCACAGTGAGCGCTGCCAGCAGGGGCTCTGCTCCCTGGTCAAACGCACTGACGACTGGTTTGAAGTGTTCTCCTTCCACCTGGACCGGGTGCTGGGACTCAACAGGAGTCTCCCTGCTGTGCTGAGGACCTTCCACAGTGACATTTTACCGTACCGATATATCAGCGGCACACCCAGACCTGTAGTGTGGTGGGATCCAGACATTAAACACCTGGCTGATAAAGACAATGACCAGAACTCAGTACCGCTCAGGTGGGCCAGGTACCAGAAGCTGCTGCAGGCCCACTGTGGGAGTGAAGCAAACCTGAAGACAGCGCCCTGTGTGGGAGTGGACCACCCAGAGTGGGGGAGACTGGCTCTCTTCGACTTCTTATTACAGGTAAGCTCTGTACCACACTCAGTACCCACATGTGTGCACAGAAGACCACACACACAACATGACTCATAGTGACAGCAGTACTACACAGAACAGTGGCATGTTCAAATTAAAGGGATTTGGGGTAGTGAGAAAAGAGGACAGAGTCTACATACAGTAGATCACCATGAGCTATGGAGGAGGGGAGACATACTGGAACTGGGTAAGTAAATGTATTGTAATTTAATTGGATTATACAGAAACACATGTTTGACTGAAGTTTAGTCCAGCAAATCAGTCAATTCAAAGTAAGCTGAAGGAGCTAGGTTTCTGTAAGCAGCTAATGCTGGCGTCACCTAGCACATTGAAGTGGAGCAGAAGAGTTCAACTGGATGTCTGCATAATGGGTCATATTTGTTTAGTTCTAGTTAAAATGGTTATGTGATAGATTGCTGTCTACGAAACTCCTTTGTCTTGCTTTGGCATGGCTGGTGCTTCAGGAAAATGCTGGTTTATAAGGACACAGGCTTGATCCCCAAGTTGGCTACAGCTGTGATAGCCACTCCTGCCAGCCTGCAAATTGCTCTCAACACAAACCAATGGGCCTTTAGCAGGTTGAATGGTGATTAACATTGATAATGGCTGCCACAACAACACTAACGGGATTTCAAAATGAAACAACAAAAACAACCCTACTGTAACTGGAGTTAAAGCTTAAAAACCTTGTAAGATCACAGGTAAAACTTTTTAAAGAAGATATACCCCAACAAATCTTGTACTATTTCTAAACGTATCAACTTTAATATAAAACTAATTCAGAATATCAGCTCTCAGTACAATATTTATTTTTTAAAACACTGAAATGTTAAAACAGGTTAAACAAAACACAATTACTGAGTCATATGCCTAAAACATCAGGTATTTCAGGTTTATGCTACCAAATCAAGTGAGATGTAATGGAAATCCATTGATGTTGATATTGATTTATTGATTGATGATATTTTATTGGTACTTGTATTTTCTATGCATAGCTAAGGTTATTCATTTCATGTCAAACAATATTCTTATCTTATGTCAAAAACAGTGCGTTTGCATCGGCCCCCTTAAACAGTTCAGACACCATGATCCCTTTCTTGAGCTCGGCCAGTCGTGTCTTAAAAAACCTGTAACTTTACAAAATTGCAAAAACGTTCACAAAACTTTGAGACTGTATATCATGATACTCTGTGTTTAAGCCCCTGTCAACAGCTAATGATGAAGTCCCTATCAGCGCCAACCCAAAAACAGAGGGAAGTATTTATAGAACAAAACAAGGGTTGCGGTTGAATTTCCCTAACAATTGGGCACGACAGTATGTCTTTTTCAGCCACTTTTCCTTAACAGTGAAATATCAGGATGTGAAGAAGAACTCATCAGGACGCCCGCAGCGTTAAGAGGATCTAACTGGATCCAACATTATTATGATGTGATCATTTACAGTAATGAGCGTTCTCCTATGGGTTTAACGTATAGAGTGCCACAGTGACGCGTCCTAAAACCCGGAAGTATGTTAGCATTTTACCACTTCCGGTTCCTTCGACAAAAAACGTTTTTTCGAATCATAAATCTAATCGATAGACTAGGGTTTTAGGACGCGTCACTGTGGCACTCTATTGCTCAAAGATCAAAGCATTATGACTTAACTTCCTAAGGTTACAGCATAGGATTGAAAATGCTTAATAAGCACTGTAACATGATCTACATTTCTCAGTCTTGTTTGTTTTCGTAAATGTCCGAATGGTGCATCACTTTAAATGTTGCAGCAGGGATTGATTGTGGAACAGGCCTTATCTCTTTTCCTTTTATATAAGGTGGTCAAGTGTATCCAATGCTTAGGGACATTTTAAAGAGGCATTGAAGCTCCTTTCCTTACCATCTAGAGAAATCGAACAGCTCTTATCTTGGCTGACTGAAGTACTTAAGAGTAAATACTCAATCATATTTCATTTATAAATCATATATCAAGTATATAATGGGAAAGTGTCCAAACAATGAGCTCTGAACCTGTTGTTAGGGACCAGATGCTGAAAATACATCTGGAAGTGTAATTAATCAGCTTCCAACCTCTTTAACACTGACACAAATCTTACACGTATTAAAACTTAAAATAAAAGAGAGTCTGTTGTAATCAGATCATTCAGGTCAAGACAAATGATTATTTAATGAATTAATTGATTTGCTGCTTTCCTTTGTCTTATATGATAATAAACTAATACTGTCCTCTGAACAGACAATTGTGTTTGCACCTTTGTATAGAACTGCAGTCATACTGATTTTACCACCAGGTCATTTTGTCCTATTTAGTTTTGCCTGCACACTAAGACAGAATGTGTATCCAAAGCCCCTCTACAGTGTGTGTAGGGTTGAATATGATAACCCATGAGGCAGCTCTCTTCCCCTCGCTGCCAGAGGTCGCTCCCTGTTACAGGGCCAAGCTCTAATAGCTTCCTATTGATCTGCTGAGTCGATGAGTGCCTCGAAACACTTGTTCCTATCTGCTCTGTTAACACCTCCCTGGGCTGTGACAGCAGGAAACTGAACACCAAAGGCAGAGGAGCAGCGTGAAGGAATCATTCACAAACACCAGAGCAGGGGAGGACACCCTAGGGAGGATAGGCACACTCTGGATAAGGTGACAATTGGAGTGGAAGTTGAAATGTACACTCCTGCAGACTGCTAACAGGCAGATTCTTCTGAGGGGAAATCGATGGACGCTCAGAGCAGTCTACATGTTTGAAATGGTCTCAGTTTATAGTTTGAAATCAGTTTAAAGTGTGATCATGGTTTAACCAGTCAAAGTCACCTTAGATGTCCTAATTTGGGATTAATAAAGTATATATCTATCTATCTATCTTGAAGATAATGCCCAACCACCATATAAAGTGGTGGACAAAACAAACAACATTAAGATAATTGAGTTTTTCCGAGCCTAGCTTCTAGATATTTGTTTAGTCTAGTGACTGCATGTTGCACAGATTACGGTGACACAATCTGTCCCTGACACGCTAACAAGCTGAAAACAATCCCAGCGCCGCTGGCTCCTTCCAGAGACAAGCAGTGCAATGCAAGCCGAGCAGTTCCTCAGTCTCTCCCGGCTAACCCCTGTGCTCTGTGTGTTGCTGCAGGTAAATGACCGGCTGGACAGGTACTGCTGTGGCTTTGAACCCGACCCAACTGACCTCTGTGTGGAGAACCTGCTGTACACCAAGTGTGGCAACACCAAGGAACTGCTGCTGGTTCACATCCTGGTATGTCTTACACACAATACTGATCATATTTCAACTCCACATGCAAGAACACATTAAGAGAGAGAGAACTGGTGTCATTAACAGGGAGGGTTACTATTCAAATGTATTATGTTCTAATTACAAATGACCTGTACAAATGTAATCAGTAACTTAATCATACTATAAAAGTCACAATATAAAAGGAATGTCAACTGATTACTTTCCATTTCTTTTAGTATACCTCAATATCAAATGCAATGCAAATAAATACAAGCGAAAATAAATATAAATAAGATGTGTGTTATCTAAGACAACAGAACAATGTGACCATAGAAAAGAAGAAACCAAGATATTTAGGATCAAATTAGTTTTCTGCTCAGTGTTTTTTCATTTCAGGCAGAAGTCCTACATGAGGCATGCAGGTCTAAGTCAATATTGGCTCAGTTTCCAAAAGGCTAGACCAGAGTCAGAATGAGTATTTAGTATTCCAGTGTGGGATGGAAATGTGGCAGCAGGTTGAGAAGTTCCACACCTGAGAGAGGAACCATCGGAGGAACAGTTTCACTGCACGACCAAACATACACCAACAATGAAACACATGAGCACAAACTACAGTTTAAAGAATCAGAAATAAAATCAGAGCTGACAGAAAATGCTCCGTTTTAGTTTAATACACACAGTTAAAGGTAGGGTAGGTAAGAATGGAGAAACCAGCTCGAGTGCGCTCGAATTTGAAAGTACGCATCCGAAAAAAATCTGCCCCTTCCTTCAGACTTCCTTACAGAGCCCCTCCTCCAACACACACGAACGCGCACATGACCAATGAGGGCACGAGATAAGTTTGTGCACGAGATGGAAGGCTGACAGGCAGGTAGGCCATCCAGTTATTTTAGCCGGGCCGGGTTTTCACAGCGCCACGGCTTCCACAGATGACATATTTGAATATATTAATTGTCAAAGCATTTAATGTATTCATTGCTATCGGGATGTTAAGAGCATTCCATGGAATATAACAAAAAGTATTTCTGAAGTGAATTACCTACCCTACCTTTAAGCTCACACACACTATTTTATGAACATATAGGTTCACCTACTGAATTAAAAACAGAACAAATGAAGCAAAGAAAGTGAGTGTGTGTGTGTGTGTGTGTGTGTGTGTGTGTGTGTGTGTGCGTGTGCGTGTGCGTGTGCGTGTGCGTGTGTGTTCAGGTGAGGAGGGCTGATCCCTCCAGACTGGTGTTCATAGACAACGCAGGCAGACCGCAGCAGTCCGCCAACAACCTGAACTTCAGGCTGGTCGAGGGCATTGATGAGTGAGTACAAATGATAGGCTATCATGTTTAAAATAGGGGGGGGGGGGGGCATATTTTAGATATTTATTGCTTCATTCAATCATGCAGGCTCAATACGCTACACCACACAGACGTCAGAAACTCTTCTGGGCTCACCGCAGGCACAGAGAAACACTGATGTAAGGAAATGTTTCACGATTGAGCCGTAATTAGATTTAAAGTCCATGCAAAGACTCGAATTATGCGAATTATGTAACTTATTTGTGTATCAGCGAGAGTTGACGTTTTTCAACTTGAGCGAGAAATGAGTGTGACGCTGCTTGAGTTGGGATGGCTCCTGTCATCACTGACGTCCTTACGTTGGTTCCTGACAAAGCATGAATTTAGACCTTTCGCATATCCCCATCATGGTGTAGTTATCTTGTTATCCTCTTATCTTGTAATCTGTTTATTACATTTCAATCACAGAAAGATCTGTTCAAATTGGGTTCATAGCGCTTTGGTATTCGTTCAGCCCACTTGTGTGACGCCCATGATTCAGTGAATATTAATTGACTTTAATTATATTATACTGGACACTGGTCTTCCTAAACACAGTTGAAGCAGCAGTCATCCAGGCACGGTTCCTGGAGAGGCAATGAAATTCACCGAAATGTGTGTGAGCAAACCAATGCTAGTTTTAAGATGTATCTGGAATTTCTAAAAATGTGTTCCAACACCATTTTACAGCCTCTAGACTCGAGGATTTGACATGTGCAGCTGTATCGAATCTATAACTCATCAAACATAATGCTGTGTTTGTTGTCAGGTTTCCAGAGAATGCAGTGTCGGTGTTGCAGTCAGGCTGTCTGGAGAGTCTTCTGCTGCGCTCCCTGTACACAGACAGGGAGTTCTGGGACAGCCAGGGTGGTGCCAGCGGCCTCAGGACTCTCATCCACACTGTGGAGCAGAGAGGGAAGATCCTCCTCCAGCACATCAGAGACAAGAAGCTACACGTCAACAGAGACCTGTGACCGGCTGAGCCAACAACTGAAACACACCATGCTGGTTGATAAGCTGATTTTAAAGATTACATTTTAATCAAATAAAGATCATACTGCAGCAAAATAGGTTTTGAGTAACAGAAGCCTAAAAGTTTGTAATGGTTCAGCCAATCAAAGAGCTCAGCAAACACTCAATGTAACGCAATGACAACCTCAGGGTACATGGATCAATCTATCAAAGTCTACTTAAATCACGAGTCATCCGGTTAACAGTCAAATGTGACCTTCAGAGGTATTTAAATATTTGCTAAAAAGCTACGATATTCAGTGTACATGTATTGACAGAAAAGCTAGCAGGGGCACCAAGACACAATGTAAGAGTTAGCTGTTTGCCCTTATGGGTTAGCTGTTAGCCGTTTAACGTTACCAGTTAGCTGTTACCTGCAAACTGTAATCTGTTACCTGTTAGCTTTTAGCCGTTACCAGTTAGCTGTAAGCTACAGCTCCCACATTGTTGGATTTGTTGGGCTTTTTTTTGTTGGTCAGGCTAATGTCACCTTGACCCTTATGATAATTACTGTTTATGCAAATATGTTTAAAATTACATTCATTCTTTGAATATTTGCAAAGAATTCTCAGTTGACAGAGTTTTTGACCGGTTAAAGCACAGACAGAAGACGTTTGAGTGAAATGACAAAGCAACCGTCCTGCTGCAGGAGTGATTGATTTGTTGTGTCTGTTTTTGTGAGATAAGTGTTTCTGCTTTTATTAGAGGGATTACAAATATCTGCCAGCCAATAGTTTCCGGACTGGATTCAGGAAGCTTTTTGGACTGAAGTATGTCAATATATATTTTAATTGTAAGTACCTGTCCATGCAAATTGCTGAATAGCACAGCAGTGAAGCAAAAGATAAAGGAGTTTAATAAAGCTGATGTTTACCGTCTGAATGACACATTTCTAAAGCTTAATATTTTTGGGGTATTTGAGTCTTTTAAAAAGATGTCACTTGAAGCTTTACCCGCTCTGAATTAAAATTCCAGTTAAACTGCATGGATTGATGTTTTTTTTCTACGGCTCCCTCTTTGATCAGAGAATAAATGGTTCAAATGTGAGCCCCTGTCTTTATTCCACCCCATATGTCTCACATTAAATGCCCTTTGTATATGTGGTAAACCACTAAAAGTGCTTCAGAGAAGAATGCAACAAAATGGGAAAAAAAGTTTGTGAAAAAGATGAGACAATACTAAATAACAAAGACAGATGGATCGGCTAACATGACACATAAAGCTGAACCTCAAAAACGAAAACATTCACATAAAAGTCACACAGACTAACCCTTGATCCTCAGACATGATGTAAGACTCAGGGCATTTCAATCAGAGCATTGGCCAAGCCAGTGGCGTCGCCTGGCCTGGGCATCCGGAGCTTTAGCCCCGAATGTTTTTTCTGTAGCCCCGGACAATTCTCCCTCAATAATATAATACATTGTAGTGATCACTAATTAACGGGGTTACATAATTCAATCCAGGAACTACAGGTTGGGGGTATTGTTTCCGCACGGACATATATGTTGACGGTACCTCTGGGGTACCTACTGTGTGTGTGTCCCTTTCGCTTTCTCTTCTCTTCTCGGGCTGCGACCCGACAGCATGTGCATTTCTGCTGCTCAATAAAGCCAGATTTGTACCTTCGATGCACCGCCTCCGACTCCCTTTTCTCGGCACTACATTGGTGACCCCGACATAAGTCTCGCGAAGGTTCCGAGACTGAATCGAACACGGCAAAAAACATACTTTTTCTCGAAATGCCGGAGATTTATGGAGACGTCCGTGGCTGCCACGTGCGCACAGACTGAGGCTCGGTGCGCCCCACGGAATGGCTGAGGACGTCGCTCACCATTCCCGCTTCGTCTCGGCACTGGAGGGCAGCAAGCCTTCCTACTACGAGGAGACGATGCACGACCTGCTAGGTATGGAGGGACCCGACTTCTACCTCATGGAGCTGGTTCTTCGGGACATGCGGCTGCATGTCCAGGCTGCGCTAGCTAACTCGGCTAGTGTTGAGCCCCGCGCTTTGGCCAAAGATGCTAGCCGGTTCCTCCTGGCCGCCCCGCGATTTACCCCTGGGGTGCTTGCCACTACACGCTGCAGCACCTTCCCTGGTGGGGGCACGCCGCCTGGCAGAGGCTCCGGGGCCGACGACGACAGCGACTACCGGCCGTCGAGAACGGCTAGCCACGACTGCTAACAGCTAGCTGCTACCGACGGCTAACGACGACAGCTAGCAACAGCTAACGACTGGCAGCTCCCAGCGGCTATCGACATCCGACTGTTTTTTTTTTTGTTTTTTTTTGCGGTGCCGGAGAGGAGGTTCGATCACGTCTGGTCGGCCTCGTGTGGCTCCTCTCACAATTTCGCCCACCTGTTTTTGTTCATGGACAGGACGAGCCTTTTGAGTTTTTTTCTGGTGCCTGAGAGGAGGTTCGACCATGTCTGGTCGGCCTCGTGTGGACCCTCTCGCTTTTTCACCACCTCGACGGCGGCTTCGGACGTCACACACGCCTTCTTTGGCCCGTGGGTGGCGCGCTTCTGGACCCCGTCTCGCCTCGACTCTACGGTTTCGGACGTTGCCCATGCCTTCATCGGCCCGTGGGTGGCGCGCTTCGGGACCCTGTCTGGCCTCTTCCTTCGCCTCGGCAGCTGCTTCGGACGTCGCCCGCGCCTTCTTCGGCCCGTGGGTGGCGCGCTCCCGGACCCTGCCTGGCCTCTCCTCTAACCGCAGCTCACGGTTCGCCTCGACGGCGCTCCGTCTGGCCTTTCCCCTGTCCACGGCTCCCTCCTCCCGGGGACACGGCTCCTTCCTCCCGAGGACTTCCTCCGGGTTTTTCACGCCCGTACCCCATGTCGTAACACAGCGACCCTGCTTTCTGCGGCCCCCTGACGACGGCCCGTTCCGGCCCGCCCCCCACCCTCCGGTGGGGAGGCCCTCGCCCTCGTTGGGGCCCCTACCCTCTCCTGCGGCCCCCTTCCGACGGCCCGTTCCGTGGCCCGGCCCTCGCCGGCGGCCCCGCCCTCCTCGGCCCCTGTGGTGCTTCCTCCCGGACGCGAGGATTGTGTCCATGGTTGAATTCTGGGGGGGCTTGTGTAGTGATCACTAATTAACGGGGTTACATACAGTAATTCAATCCAGGAACTACAGGTTGGGGGTATTGTTTCCGCACGGACATATATGTTGACGGTACCTCCGGGGTACCTACTGTGTGTGTGTCCCTTTCGCTTTCTCTTCTCTTCTCGGGCTGCGACCCGACAGCATGTGCATTTCTGCTGCTCAATAAAGCCAGATTTGTACCTTTGATGCACCGCCTCCGACTCCCTTCTCTCGGCACTACAACATTAACCGTGCTTTACGTGAACCTCATCATGACACAAGAGAGGACGGCAGCACTGTAATTTCCCGTGTTCAGTGAATGCAACAGAGGCATGACACCAGACCAATCAGAGAGTTGCATGGAAATAAACGTGTGTCATTCAAGCTCGGCTCTGTGTGTGTGTGTGTGGCAATAGCGCATGTGAGAGAGAGAGAGAGGGGGAGAGAGGGAGAGAGGGGGAGGGAGAGACCGGTGTCAGCATGGACCGTGTTGTTAGCATCTGGTTAGCTCAGGGTTGCCAACTCTCACGCATCTGGCGTGTGACACACGCTTTCACTCTCAATCTCACGCTCTCACGCTGCCCAAACTATTCTCACGCCAAAAACAAGAATACGAAGACGAGAAACGGTTTTGAAAACTTTTGTCACGTAGTGATCGTCTTCTCAATAGAAGATCTTTGATAATGTCTTCTGGCCAATCAGAATCACGATAACGGCGTGGTGTTGTTGCAGGAAGTCCCGACGGAGAATACTTTTGCGGTAGTACATCTCTATATACATCGATACAACATTACGTGTTGATAGAAATCAACACGTAATGAAATAAGACCCCACGGTTTGATGATTGATAGGTGTGTGGGCTGTCTTTCATTTTGACACACAGAACAATGGGGGCTATCCACCCTTATCCACAATGTAAAGTAATTCGCACAGCCTCTTCCCTCTTCTCTCTGTGAGGAGCAGCACTGCTGCAGCAGGTTCAGCTTTCAGAACAAAGTAACAAAAAACTAATATGGCATTCATTTTTTTAAATGTGTAGTAATAGATTTATTTATTTTTCTTCTCAAGAGAGTAGCAGAATGTGTATTTTATGTTAGTATTTTAAAAAATCCAGGTCGCCCTTTTTATTTACTACAAGACAAATGTGCCTTTTTATTTCATACAGTTCAATTTGGATTGAGACAGGGAAATAATCTAAACCTCACGCGTGGCGTTTCACTGTCGGGGGGAGCGTGTATGTAATTACATTGCAAATACTGATTTGAGCCCCACCACTGTATGGGTTAGCCCTACCATAGATTACCCAACAAAAATACTCTGGAGCGCATGCGCAGATCTAAGATCCAGTAGAAATGATAAAAAAGTAAAAGTCTGCTGCTTATTGTTCTACTAGGCCAAAATAGAGTCAAAGAGTATGTGAGAGTGTGTTAATTAATATATTTGGCAGTTTGGAGTAAGTCTGTAGATTTGTTTGTGTGTGTGTGTTTCATGTATAGGCCTCTCACGATAATTAATTTTGTTGGATACATTTTCCCGGAAATTATTGCGATAAACGATAATATTGTCGGCACCGTTGTATGACCATTTTAGACCACTGACATAATGATAATATATAATAATAATTCAAGTACATCCTTTCAAACTGCTAGTCACATCCTCATGTAAATGGAAATTTATCGAGGTCAGAAAAGTTATCGAGTTCATTTTTATTTATCGTACGATAAGTCAATTAATTGCTTATCGCGACAGGCACACAATAAAACAGTGGAAACAAACATGTTTGACTTTCATTAGTGAATGAAACTGTGTGCCCTTTATAGTCTGTGTCCATTATTGTGTATTTGTATATATTGTATATATATCCTATATATATGCTAAGGTCCCGCAGCTGACACGATAGCAGTCATTTCGTGCGCATATGTGTAATTAAACCGAATGAAACCCATGATATCAAAATCTCACTCCAGCCAGGTACCCACAGTTGGCAACCCTGGGTTAGCTAGCTGCACTAACGGACATAAGGAGCTGTTTGTTCCACAACAAGCTGGAGGAGAGTCCTCTCCTCTCAGACTGAGAGACTCAGGTGAGCTAAAGGACTCTCTGAGTGTTTAGATAGTTAACTTTAGTCTAAGTTAGCTCAGTGGGTCTCAAACGGTTTGGTCACAAATTATTCAAAAGATTATTTCCGCGGCACACCTTCATATGATCATTATAGTTATTAAAAAAGAGAGAATAAAGGAAAAACAGTTATGAAATACTATATGGCAGTAAAACAAGAATAGAGTTTAAAAGGGGAGTGATTAGTAAAATATCCATAAAGAAAAAGTACATCTGTTTACAGTTCTGCTTCATATGGGTGTTGAGAGAGGTATCCATAGATCTCTTCATTTTGCTCTCAAAGTGCACCAGATTGATGCATTTAACTTCAATATTTAAAAAAAAAATCTCCCCGGACCCCCCACGAGGAGGTGAGCCCCCCACTCATAAAAAATACCACTTCACCCCTGCCTATATGCCGTGAGCTGATTATCGAGCCTTCATTGTAACAGTCGCGGGTGTACTGTGTGTGTGCGTGTGGGGAGTGTTGCAGTAAAAAATGCCACTGTAGTGCCGCCGCCACTGTGGGCTAAGCCCCGAATGTTTTCAGGTCCAGGCAACGCCCCTGGGCCAAGCGTTAGAGAAAAGAAAACTCCTTTGTCAAAAACAAACCTATTAAGTATTTACGATTGTTAAAAATGTCTTTTATCCTCCTGGGACCCAGCCCATTGAAAATGTCCACTGTCGAGGACATTTTGTTAACATGCATCTCCTTTTACTCTTTTGAGCTACTCTATCAATCCCTGATGTACTGTACAGAGGACATCCTGGGCTTTCCAGTGATATGTCATTGGTTAAAATTGCATGCTGGGAAGTTCCTCTTTCTTTTCATCCAAAATGGCTGGCATACCAAAAACAAAATGTTATA